TCGCCTGCTGAATGGCTTTTTTTTCCCCCTTCCTGCCTGGTTCTGGTGACTATGGTGTAGTTACCTCCAGGGGCCAAATCCTGGGACTGTAAAAGAGATGAGTGTAGTTCTGGTCAGATCAACCTGTGAAGGGTGGGGCTTGTTTCACTGGGCTGCTGAGCGGAGTTTAATGCTTATCTGAACAAAGCCCCCCTTGGAAGTTAACGGCACAGCAGCAAAGTAAAAAGTCAGATAGCTGCTGACCTAGGAGAACTGGTGTTTCATGTCAGTGTTGTCTGCCTGGCTTGGAATAAGCATGGTGGCTCAATTAGCACCACAGTGGTACTGCACCTTTACTTGACAGTCCTTTCTCACTTGATTCTTTCTTTTTTCTTTCCCCCCCCCCCTCCACAGTCTTTGCTTCAGCCACTGTCCATATTCCAATTTGATGGCATCATCCTTCCTGGTAAATAAGCAGTTCCTGTTACAAAAAAAGCAAATAAAATTTTCTAACCCCTGAGTTCTGTTGTGAATTTTGTGGGGCCTCCTCCTGACCTGGGAAGCTGCTGGGAGCAAGGGTCGCTCACACTGGAAAGGCAGCAGAAGGATGTGGACTGATGCTGTGCACTTGAAGAGAACATGCTGTTCTCAAGGAGCGAGTGTTGGATTTACATGGATACCATCTCTACCTCTGTACTGTCCAACTGCACAAATAGTATGTAGAACTTTTAGTAGAGTCTGCAGGTGGGCATAGAAAGAAGAAGGGGGGAAAAAAAAAAAGCTCTTTGACCACTGGAGTTGTAGGGCAGAATTTCTGGAGGGTTAAATTCCTGAGGGGAGCATAGTAAGTCAGTGTGCTGGTTGTGATCCTCCACAGACCAACCTGCAGTCTTAAGGGCAGCCTGCTCTTTAACGAACGAGGGATTCTGAATTAGCTGAAGAAACTGTCTTGCTCTAGGAACTGTTGGGAGTTGCGAGTTCATTGGGTAGCCAAAGGAACTGGCATACACGTCCTCTTAATGAAGCAGAGCTGTAAAGCCAAAATGTGGCTGAGGCTTCTTTGTCTAAGCCAGCATGACAGGACTGGTTGGAAGGGGCTGAGTAAGGCCTGTGGTGCTGGCAGTGCTGGGGGACTGGCCAGGCTCCTGAGCCTCTGAGAAGTCAGGCAGGGTTTTAATAAAGACTGGGAATTGTCGCTTGGACACAGTGATGGAGAGGGACCCCAGGTGCTGAGCAAGTGCTTGCCCCTGGAAACTCAAGTTTCCTGATCACTTCTTTTACGGGTCAGACTCTGCTTTTACAGTAATGGGGAAGCACTGACAGTTCAAAACCAAGCTGTCAGCTTGATGGTACAAGTTACAGGACCTGGCTAGGGATCTATCTGTGAGGGCTCCTGGTTTAGATGTGAATGGATTCTGTTCCAGCTGATGCTTATTTTCAGGGCACTGTTTGCCTCTCAGATCTGCTGGAGTCTGATACCAGCCTCAGACACTTCCCCGATTCCTTCTGCTTGAGCTAGAGCACAGCACTTGGAAGAGCAAGAGATCTTGGTGAGGTGTTTCTATAATTCTCTTCCTTGCTATCAAGATTCAGTTTACTCCTGGTCTGAAGGTAGTAATGAGTAAATGTTAAATGTCTTTCCCTTGAACAAATGCTACGTGAGCAACAGGGTCTGTTCTAGACCTGTCATTTTCTTGTACCTAATACCAATACTACTGTTCTTTTCAAAGATACTATTCCTACAGTAGAATTTCTCTTGTGCTTATTCTAGTTTGGTTTTTTTTCCCCGTTATTTTTTTCCAGTCCACACTGTGATACAGAGCTGCAGGCTGAGGAGAAAAGCTCTCCTGTCCTGCTTGCTTCCGTGTCTGCCCCACTTGAGCAATCCCTGCTTCAGCTGTGGGATGGAGATGCAGGCAGCTCAGAAGACACTTTCCTAGAGCCCAAAACTTGCCATGGTGGAACAAGAGTGTCTGAGGCTTTGCAGTGGCTCCAAACATCAGCGTGCCTCCCCATCCAGCTACCCCACGCTCCTGAGCTCTGTCTCCTTCCCTAGCTGGGGGCATAAGCCATGTGGCACCCAGGGCCCTTCACATGCTGGCTGCTGCCGAGGCCACAGAGCTGGCCCGGGACTTGGAGCTCAGAGGGCGCGGGAAGGTGATGGTGCAGCATGAGACACCCACGGTGGCCTCAGGGAGGTCCTCGTCCTCAGCCCACTCATTGAGGTCAGGGTTGTAGCACTGCACGCATTTCTGATACCTCTTCCCGCTCTCATTCCAGCCACCCACCAGGCACAAGCGCCCCTCCAGCAGAGCCACCCCAGCTGTGCTGACCCCCGTGGGCAGGGGTGCCACGTAACTCCACTGCCCCGTGAGTGGATTGTAGCACTCCACGGGCATCACGTCCACCCGCTCACCCTGGGGACCCAGCTGGCTCCCACCTAGCACATACGCTCGGTCGGCCACTGTGGCCGCACAGTGCCAGCCCCGGGGGGTGCTGAGCCTTGCCTGCTCCCTCCAGGTGTCGGTGCTGGGCTCGTAGCTGTACACGGTACGAGAATAGGCATGGCTGATGTAGCCGCCAGTGACCAGGAGCTTGCCGTCAATGACAGTGGTGGCATGGCAGCAGCGGGGCATCTCCAGGCTTGCCTTGCTCTGCCAGCTGTTGGTGGTGGGGACGTAGCACTCAACAGATGCCAACGTGCCCTCAGCATTGCGCCCTCCGACAGCGTAGAGGAGCCCGTTGCAGGCGCTCAGGCTGAAGTGTGTCCTCCTGTGCTGCATACTGGCGAGGTGCAGCCAGGTGTTGAAGCGTGGGTCATACCTGGGGGACCAAGGTCAGATCTGTCTGTCCAGGACTAGCATCAGAGCTTTGAGGAGAAAAGGGCCCTGCCAGACATCTGCCTTTGGAAGAGACAACTCGTGCTCTTGAAAAGCCTCTCCGTCTTCTCCAGCAGTAAGAAAAGCACCTGGACAGGCAGTGTGGATGGAGACAATGGCACTGCACAGGACTAGATCCTACCTGCGGCTGCTGGGGTTGTTGCTGCTCTAACCCTTGGGACAGCCCAGCATTGCTTCTGCCACCACAAGCTCCAGCCTGGCTTGGAAATGGCGAGTGCTATTGATCTGCGGTGTCCCCAGGTACTGTCACTGTCCCCTCTGTTGGGTCTTGGCAGGTAGAAGAGGACCTAGGAAGAGGTCTTCCCTGCCCACCCTGCCAGGCCAAAGCCAGGCACGTGGCAAGAAGCCAGCTCCTTGTATTCCCATGAGATGGCAGAGGGAACTGGAACTGCTGTATCCCCAGAGTGATGCCACAGGGACAAAGGGCAGGCCAGGAAAGGTGGATAAGCTACTGGCCAGAAATAGAACAGAGACCTGCCAGTGGGTCCCTGAAACCTCACCTGGTGTGGGAGAAAGAGCCCAATGATGGCAAGAGGGGCTGCAAAGGGCTCGCCTCGAGCAGTGCCGATGATGTTGTGTGTGGAGCCTCAGGTGGCTGAGCCAAGCTGTGGGCAGAGCCACCGGGAAGTTCAGGTTTAGGTTGCAATCAAAATACTGCATGTCAGGTTGCCATGGTTACCCCTCCTTTGAATAGTAATCCCTTGGCAATCCAGTGACACATTTATGGGGATTTAGGAAACAAACCTTGTCATTTAAATGATGAAAAGAGAAATGGAGGCAGAGAGAAGAAAGCCCGAAGGGCAACAGGAATCCTACAGGCAGTAAATCTACCTTAAAATGAATCCACGGAAACCAGACACTGGGTTGAGGCAGCAGTGGCTGGAGGAACAGCCAGTGGGCTAAAAGGGGAGCTCCCCAGAATAACAAAATGGGTTACTTCTAAATAATGAGAGCTCCCATTCCTCCAGGAGCCTCCGAGCTACAAAGAGGCCCTGCCTTGCCCTCATCCTGCACCGGTGCTGTGTGCTGCCAGAGGATGTGGACAGCACAGCTCAGGGACCACAGTCCCCAGGGGAAGTCTAGGCTGGGGTCACGCAGATCAAATGTCTGGAAGTGGTTTCTAGGTCTTGTGTCTCACAGTCCAGCACCCTGTGCTGGACCTTGCTGCGTTTGTCCCTCCCTGGAAGCCTTATCCCAGAGGCCAGACTGACCTCCTCGTTACTGACTGCAAAGGGGAACCTTTCTGATGCGCTCGTCCCTCACCCTGTGGGGGATGCTGGGGCACAGGCAGGCACAGCACAGCTCTGAACCCCTCCCCAGGGTCTGTACGGTCAGGCGGAGCCCATCTTACCTGCTCAGGGTGCTGACGGCATGCTTGGCCTGGTTCCTGGCATCATTTTGGTCTTCACCACCTGCAATGTAGATGAATCCATCCATCACCACCACACACTGGTTAAAACTCTTTGCTGGCATCTCTGTCAGCTTGTTCCAGTTTCCCTCTGTGTCCCTGTAGCTGATCTCCCTGCTAAGAGCCTTCTCGGTCAAAGCTAGACGACCTCCAACTGTGACAAGCACCCTCTGGCCTCCCCGTATTCTGGTTCTCCGAGACTGAAGGCTGTTTTGCTGGTGGGGGAGCAGGTGGTAATTCATAGCATCCACGAGGAGCCTGTGGCACTGTGGGTCTTGCATCATGTGTGGCACAGGTTGCACATGGTTGACCAAGTCTGCAGCTGCGATTGTGCCGAATCGAATGTTGCTCAGGAGGTCAGCAGCATATCGGACCCGTTTCGGGTCAAACTCCAGCCACTTGACAGCGATCTGGAAGGCTACAACCTCACTGGGTATCTGCAGGCCATCATCCATCAGCAGTTCATTGATCTGATCAAAGGGGAGTTTCATGAACTGGTCGGTCTTGGAGAACTCCAAGAAGTTTTCCCGGATGAATTTCCAGGTGGCCTCTTTCACCTGGTTGAGGCCGTAGGTGGCCGAAATGTTGGCGATGTACACGCAGTTCTCCACAGCCATCTCCCGAATGAGGAAGTCACTGCACATGTTCAGCAATGCCGGCACCTGCAGCTGGGTGGCTGCGGCGATGGTGCTGCCGATGGTGTACAGCGAGAGGCTCAGCTTCCCCGTGTAGGCGTAGGTGATGACGGTGGTCAGGCCTAGTGGGGACACGGCCTGGAGCTCCACCCGGTGCAGCTGAGGGTCTCTTTGTAGCAGGCGGTAGAAGTACTCACTGCAGGAAGCCAGGACAAGTTTATGCACCTCAAAGGACTTGGTTTTGGTGGCAATAGTGAGATCGCAGAGGAATTGTTTCTGGTGCATCTGGTTCATCCCCTCCAGAAGGCTGGCTCCATGGTCTGGTGCTTCAACCTCTGTGGCTGTGCAGCGGAAGCCGTTGGAGCTGCTGTCGTACAAACCACTCAAGTGATTGAGGTGTTCGACATCTAGCAAAGCATCTTCCACCATCACCGGGGTGATGGACGCATCCTCTTTATCCACCTTGGGCTTCTTGGGCGTTTTCTTTTTGGGTGCCATCTTGGCAGAAACGGAAGGGGACCTGGTGAGAAAGGAGAGGTGAGGAGCTTTGTAGCAGGGGTACAGCTGT